GAAAATACACCACTCGGGTCCCGGATGAAGTGGCGTATGGAATCTACGAGTGGCTTAGTTCCCAGTAAAACACTCTTCTCCATATAATAAATAATATTATCATACAAAGTGATATCCCCGTACAGCCATACCCAGTGGAGGGGAGAGAGGAATTGCTGGCCCTCGCCCACTCTTTGTTGGTTTTGAAGATACATTGTAGCTGATGCTGTGCAGTCAAGCTCATGATTTTTGGTCCAGGGTTTCAGAAATTGCGCAGGAAAAAAAACACCTGTAAATGCCACTGAAAAACTGTGTGTGCTCGTACACTGTTTCTAGAATATTCTATCTCCTGAAATTGAAAGCTCAGTAGTCATTAAGCAGAATTATTTTGCAATGCCAAGATTTCACCCTGTTTATACATGTAGATGACAAGAGACCCATTAGAACTATGTCCCCAGCTCTATGATCATTACTTTTTATCAGGTGGAAATTTTTGGTTAATAATTTATTATTTGTCTTCATTTTAAGCACTGAGCACTTTATGCAGATTTTTCTGACAAATTTGATTTGTGAATTATTTTGCGATGCTTTGATTTACACAATATTTCAGGTGGTAATGTGTCTCTGATTAATGTCATTTTCTAGGGTATATTTGGGGTTGGACAATCAACAGCAAAATTTTACAACAAGGAAACAAGCGTGAAAGTCAGATTCAAGTAGGTATTAAAAACTGTTGTCAAGAGTAGTTATTCAGATCAATAATTGATCTGTTCACCACTGACAAATCACAATAGTTTGCTCAACTTTGTACGATAATTGTTAATGTTTGATTAATTTAGGGATGTTGCAGGATGTGAGGAAGCCAAACTGGAAATAATGGAATTTGTGAATTTCCTAAAAAATCCTCAACAATATCATGAGCTTGGGGCCAGAATACCAAAGGTAAATACATGTACATGTACATAGTCATATGAGAAAGATACAACTAACTAACTGTAAAATAATGATCCTTGGTTAACCTGTCATTTAGATAGTTTATAGCATGAGCAGGGCTAAAAAAAAAGTGCCATGCAGTCGTCTGGGACAACTAGATTGTCCTGCGAGATAAGAAAATTTTCATTGCCAACTAAATAAGAAAAAAGTAAAACTAAGACTTGCCTAAGGTAAGCAAAATTTGACAGCTGCTTGTCTGAAGGTCAAGCTGGAATGCAAGTTTTCCTATTAGCTCTACTGTGCAAATAGATGAGGCAGCCTTTCCTTGTGCACTCAATAGTCAATCTTCTTCACCCCCCCACCCTGCGATAGAGAGATGCTTGATATTCCATTCTGTTAACAAATCTCAACATAGATATGTATAGCGCTGGGTTGTCAAAAATAGCCACCTGCTGGTGAAAATCGCCATCCGCTTCATGGTGTTGGCCAGCTACTCTGCTAAAGCATTTCTCAGATTCTTTACAAAAGCATGGCATCAGCCACCTACATGTACTCCAGCAATAGAGCCATCTACTTTCAAACTTGATCACAACCCTGATAGTGAAAGGTGAATTGATCAACGTGACACAAGTGTACATGTAGGACAAAGAAAAAAGTTAAGGAGTTCTCATACATGTAGCTCCGTAGATAGAGCACCTGCCCGTTGTTTGGGAGATCATCACTTCAATTCCTGTCAGGAACTCAGATTTTTTTTCTTTTTCATACGCTCGTGTCATTTTGATCAATTCACTTTTCACATTTCATTACTGAACTTAAAATGCACCATCTTTATGCACTTAACACTACTCGCAATGACTTTGACAGTGCTGCTCCTAGCGGTATGCAGGATGCCTGTCACATATGAACTCAGTTAAATGACCCTGCTCTCCAAGAGTTCTCGTAGCTCCGTGGATAGAGCGCCCGCCCAGTGTTTGGGAAATGGGTTTGATTCCTGTCAGGGTCTTAGATTTTTTCTTTGTCCTACGCTCGTGTCATGTTGATCAATTCGCCTTTCACATTGATTTTCATTACCAAGCTTAAAATTCACCATCTTTGTTCACTTATCACAACCCTGATAGTGAGTCTGATAGCCTTATTGATCTTGCAGGGAGCTATCTTGTCAGGTCCACCCGGCACCGGTAAAACCCTGCTTGCCAAGGCGGTGGCTGGAGAGGCACAGGTTCCTTTTCTTAGCATCTCAGGATCAGAGTTCCTGGAAATGTTTGTAGGTGTTGGTCCAGCGAGGGTCAGAGATCTGTTTGCACAGGCAAGAAAGAATGCACCTTGTATTATATTTATTGATGAAATTGATGCTGTTGGCCGTGCCCGTGGAAGAGGTGGTCATATTGGTGGTCACGATGAGAGGGAAAACACCCTTAATCAACTCCTTGTAGAAATGGATGGTGAGTTGAGTAGTGTCGCTCTTTGTTCTTTGAACAGAATAATGTATTTTGATTATTGAATTTCACCTGAAGCTTACTTTGTACATGTATGTGTGTGACAATCCTTCAACTTTGATGCTTTGGTTATAGTCGTAGAACAAATGTGGTTGAAATCAAGTTGTGATAAGGCAGATCACCACTTGATTTCAGCCACATTTGCTCTACCCTTGAAACCAAAGCATCGAAGTTAAAGGATCGTCTTTTGTATAGGCTTGAGGTGAAATTCAATAATTGAAAATGGACACATGGAATACCCCTGGTGTCAAACTTGAATTACAATGTATTTATGTACTTATGCTGTTCTACTGTAACAAGCCAAAAGTACTAAATAGCTTCAGGAACCTCAATCTCAACTTGAGACTGCATTTAAGTGTATGATTCCTTATGGAAATTTCAAAGTGCCAATGTTGTTTTGGTTTCATGTCATAGGGGCCATCAGTTAGTGTCCTCTATGGGAGTGAACTAATGTAATTATGTACTTGTGTATTTTTTACTGCTGTTGCAAGCAGTGTTAGAGATTGCTCCACCATTACATGTAGTCTGACTGCAGATCATTTTATTTTAAGGGTTCAGTTCATCCACAAATGTAGTGGTATTGTCAGGCACAAACAGGCCTGATGTGCTTGATCCTGCACTACTGAGACCAGGCCGGTTTGATAGACAGATTCATCTCCCTCCTCCAGATATCAAGGGAAGGTAAGAGAAGCAACATAAGTGCATTCTGGAATGTGGTCATGTGTTTTGAATCTTAGCCAAGTTCCTTACCTTTACAAGTGCAATGTTTATATAATTAAGGCACTTCACTCTTGACAGTTCTTTTTTGCCAACAAGGAGCACGTAGGGGATTGATAATGCCTATTTATGCCAATTAATGATTGTTGGGCAGACTATGGTTGACTATGGTACTCCCTTCCAGTAGGTACTCCAAATGTCTCCTTGTTGTAGGCCCCTGAGTCAAAGACCCAGTTTAGGCCAGGATGCATTGTGTGGTGTGGCATTTGAAAACAATAGGAACCTTGGTATCATGTAAACCAAAACAATAACAGATGCAGAAAAAGCAATACTAGGTTGTAAAAGCACTGGACAGATAAGCCATTCCATTCTTTCAATCCCTAGCATTGGACCACACTCCACTGAGTCTTCAAAATTGACTAAGCCCAAGGCTTTTGTCACCAATGCATGATTATCATGCCATTACCTCATTTCCCCTGTGGTGTAACTATTTGTTTGTGTTTGGAGTGAACATGTACGCAAACTGACACTGGTTTTCATTAGGAAAATAATATAGAACTGTTAAGTCTTAATCTTTGGGTCCTTAAAAAAAGGTTTCCTTGTGGCTGAGGACTGCTACAAGTGGAAACATGTGATTGTTACATGCAAGATGCATGTAGAAATCTAGTGAACTCTGCTGGTTTCATTATGATTTCATTGGCTCAAACAGAATACACTCTTGTCTATTGTAGATATTCCATTTTTAAAGTGCACTTAAAACCTTTGAAGACTGATCTGGACCTTGCCCAGGTAGCAAGAAAAATGGCCGCTCTTACCCCTGGATTTACAGGTTTGCTTGCTCTACTGTTTCACCCTCTCCACTTCAGACTAGTTAGTGCTACAGCTACCTAATGCGATCAGGCAGGGGATTTTGTTGGTGTGAAAGGAGAAGAAAAGGGAAAAGGGTCTGAATATAGGCAGGGAGGTTAGATGGTTTTGAGGTGTTGGTACATGTAATTTATTTTGTCAGGTAGCTGGCAATTCTCTTAATTCTCATCTTTTCTATACTTGACAATTGTTTAACATTGCCAGGAGAAAGTATGGGTTGATCATTCTTGGAAATTAGGGCTCTGATAAGATGCTGTCTGACTTGTTCATGGTTTGACCGATGAAAACTGTCTTTTTTTAATGTTATTTTTGTTTAGTAAAGAAAATGTTGCCAGCATAGATTATGGATGTGCATTAATTATTGTCATTATCATTTCAGGAGCTGACATCGCCAACGTATGTAATGAAGCTGCCCTCATTGCTGCCAGGTACCTTATGCCTAAGGTGGAATTAACACATTTTGAACAAGCAATTGAGCGTGTTATCGGAGGTGAGAATAAAGTCATATAGATCTGGCCTGGGTTGTTAGAAAGGTGGATAACGCTATCTACTGGATAAATCCCTATCCAGTGGATAGTGTAGTTTGTTTTGATTTAACACTTAGCAAACGGATAGCGATTTATCCGGTGGATAGCATTATCCTGCCTTCGAACTACTGAGGCCAGGAGTATGTATGTCTGTGTACTGTAACGTTTGCCATTCACTTCGCACACAAATTTCCAAATTATCTGAAATTCAATCTTGAGAGCCTTTTTGGCATGTCACACATTCTTTGTAATTGTGTCTTGCTGTTAGGTTTGGAGAAAAAGACCCAAGTACTGCAGCCTGAAGAGAAGAAAGTTGTAGCATATCACGAAGCTGGTCATGCAGTTGCAGGATGGTTCCTTGAACATGCTGATCCTCTTCTAAAGGTTTGTTCTACATTTTAAGGATTCCTATTGAGTAACAAATTGTATACAGCTCTTAAGATTTCTCACTCCTTTCACCGTTAAGTTAAGATTTTTCTGGCGCACTTTTTATGCCTTAAGTTACGATTAGTTAGTTACGGTACCCAAATTCATCCAAAAATTATCCATACCTGGTGAGTATTATCATGGGATATCAGGACAGTAAGCACAGTTTCTTATTGGCTAATAGTGAAATTGAGTGTGGCATGTAGTGTGTGTGTTAAATGGAAAGAGCAAGACGAGTTTGATTATTTTCAAATGACTCTCTTAAATTTTAGCCCACTAGTCGAATTATTGGTACTAGCCATTTATATTTTTATTTCCCATTTGTCTAGCGTGATGAAGTTCTGTTTTTTTCTCTTGTTTGTAACAAGGCATTGATATACTATTTTGATTTAATTTACAGGTGTCAATCATTCCAAGAGGAAAAGGCCTTGGCTATGCTCAGTACCTCCCCAAAGAACAGTTCTTATATTCCACCGAACAGGTAAGTCTACAATTCTTCTTTTCCTTTCTTCCTTTCTTTTCTTTTCACATTTTAGGGCCTCTTCATATGAGCCCGGTTGAGCGGGATCTCTTGACGGAGATATTGGCAACTGGGATGAAAATTTTCTCCAGCTTGCTTACCAAGGGGAAACTTTTTTGACAAAAGAGCTTCACTTTTGCAACAGAGTGGGCAAAATGGCATAATTTTGCTTTCTTGCTATTTCCTCTCCAGAAGTTCGCGAATTACCTTACAATTACCTCATATATGGCTGATATTAACTAGTTTTTTCTTTTTTTGATTGATTGATTGATTGATAAATTGATTGCCTGTGTCGTTGTTTCAGCTGTTGGATCGCATGTGTATGACTTTAGGAGGCCGGGTCTCTGAACAGATCTTCTTTGATCGCATCACTACTGGTGCCCAGGACGATCTCAGTAAAGTCACCAAGAACGCTTATGCTCAGGTAAATAACTCATCACGTGATTCCTTAATTGAGCTTGTTGTAGTTTGAGGGAAATGACTTCCGCAAAGGTTGTACAAGTGCCTTTTCTAACAGAAGGTTGAGAGTGGCGTTTCAACCATGTCTTGCACTTTAAGGACGGTGCCTAATAAATACAAAGGTTTTTGCGCCAGGTTAGGACCACGCGGAAAAAGTAGATCTTTGCAAGGGCTATTGGAATCCAGCAAGAAAAATAGGGGAAGCCACGCATTTTTTCGAGATAATTAGCCTTGAATCTCAAAAAAAATGCTGACATCAGCATTTTTCTGAAAAAAAGAAGGAAAGCGTATTTCTTCACAGATTTCCTTAGAATTCATCTTTACATACAGAAAAGGAAACACATTTAAAAAGATCTTTAAACTAAATGGCAAATGGTNCATTAAACTTGATTTGGTCACAGTGAGAATTTTGCTTTCATTTATTAGTCGTGTACTTGGTAGCGTAGTTGATTGCGTCAATGTCAACCCCGGCGCGTGCGTGGCGCTTAAACCATGGCTTGCGTAATGCGCAGTACGTGTGCGCACTAACAAAAGTAGGCACCGTCCTCAAGTCAATTTTACTACAGGAACTTACATGTAAGGTGTCTTACTTGATGAACTACAACAGCCCAACTTTTAACTCAATCCATTGTTCAAAAACTGATCCAATATAATTTTCCTTTCTCTAATTACTGTTTTCTTAAGTCTTTCACCATTGTATGTGTTACTTGAACAATTAAAACCTTAATAAATAGCCAAAATTAACGACCGAATGCCTAGGAGAGACTGGGCACTAGTAGATTTAATGACGTTTTTCTCAAAATCTTCCCCGTGCTGTATGAACCCACCTCAAAATTTCGGGAATCAAATATTGTCTCTGTTTAAACATTCATGCAAATTAAAATAGAAATCTGTAAAGAAGATTTTTCGCAAACAAAGAAAACGCGAAATTTTGCCCACTTCAAAAACAACTCAAAATCTGTCACAGATATTTTTTTTTTTTAGACTTTTTTTTTTAATTTTGGCTCTGAACGCGACTCACTCTTAAAAATCACCTGCGAAAATTTCATCATAGGTTGTACGGTAGGTTTTCGAGAAATCTGGGAGCAACGACAGGTTTTTACAATCTTCGCGGGAATTGAATTGCACATCTCGTTATTTAAGCGCGCGCTCATGTGACGCCACGTATCAATCAAAAGTGTTTTGGGCACCCTTTCAAAGTTTTCAGCAGCAGCACTCGTTCGCAATTTAACAGAGTAATCAAATCCTCGTACGTACTTATGGTTATTTGTTTTTCTTTCAGGTTGTAACATTTGGGATGAATGAAAAGGTCGGTAACGTGTCGTTTGACCTGCCCCGCGAGGGTGAACCCACTTTTGATAAACCTTACAGTGAAGCAACAGCACAACTAATAGACGAACAAGCCAGAGAAGTTATTAACAATGCATACAAGAGAACGTTTGATCTCCTCACTAAACACAAGGAAGACGTGGAAAAGGTAGGGAAATTCGTCTGGGTATTTCCCTTGTCTGCTTACGGGAATGAAGTGTTCGCTAGTCTTTGGGAAATACGCATGGTTCAAATTAATTAAACAAAGGACACAGGGCGAAGAGTACGAGTGGACTTAAATTTCTTTGCCATTCGCCGCTCATTCCAGAACCGTTCCTTTAGCTCTTTCTCGTAACGGAATGTTCAACGCTAGGTGTTTAGAATCCTTTCAGGTATTAAATGCGGAGAGTGGTGACAGTCGGGACTTGTTTTGGAAAATTCAGTTACATCAGTTAGGCAGACACTGCTCAAGTTATAGCGACATGTTCTATTCAATTAGATTATTATGAGCTCGAGATTTCGATCACGCGAAGGCATCGAGAGCGAATAGTGTTTAATATGAATCTACTAGTCGTTCAAATCTTATCTAGTAAATTATCTAAATACTCAGCCTCACTATCTACAACAGAATAGTCAGCGAGTAGCGCAACCAATGAGAGAACGGCATTCGTGATGGAACGCTGGTAGGTCCAGGGAGGAGCAGCATTTGCCCGCCATGCTATTCAAGCAGAAGTATAGCTGAAACCTGTTATTTGGTATCTTTTTTGTTGTGTATTAACGTTGTATTTTACCTTGTCAGATTGCCTTACGCCTCCTGGAAAAAGAAGTACTTGGCCGTGAAGATATGATTGAGCTCTTAGGTCCCAGGCCTTTCAAGGAGAAGTCCACGTACGAGGAGTTCGTGGAGGGAACTGGTGGCGACGTAGAGGATACGAGTCTCCCAAAAGGATTACAGGGACTGCAAGAGAATGGGGACGAAGAAGAAACCCCCTCAACCACCATACCCACATAGTAGTAGAGAGGAGCAGGAGAATAGCCACTAGGGGAGGGGTGAGGTAGTGATGGAGTTTCTCGAGATTATGTCTTGTTCCTGAGAGGGGAAGTGAAGATCACATCTTGAGGCATCTGTTATCAGTCTTACCATGAGTTCGCATTGGCCTCGTGTTTGCATCGTGTTTGTTGAAAGAAAAAACAACTTGTACATCAGTTATAATTAGCTATGGCATTTGGAAATAACAAACACTTTTCAATCGTTTCAAATGCCAGACTTTGTAAATTGTTGAAAAATAAACTAGCAAAAGAGTTCTTTACGTGCTACGCGGCGTATATTCATATTTCATGGGAAATAAGAAAATATTGCTTTCTCTTGGAATCAAATAAGTGGCACCGATATTAATAAGTTCCATAGCCTCTTCTACGCATTTAGTTTATCGAGGGCGAAGCACGAAAAAACGGAGAGGCTAAATAAAAGAGAGGTTTGGTGCCAAAAACGAACTCATTCTCTCGCCTTGTCGCGCCGCGCTTCTCCCCTCATTTTTCGTAAGCCGTTTTCCGCGCTGTGCCCCAACTAACTGAACGCCTGGAAGAGGCTACAAGTTCTGCTGAAAGTCAATCCAAACGTTCCCTAGAGAGGGGGATCGTTTCACCGCGCTTCGGCCGGGCATAGGCCATCTCAAGTAATTATGACACAGGAAAGTAACATGTCATTGACTATCGTCTCTTTCAAGCATCCTTTATTAAGTCGTAAATCGTTTACAAAAGTGTTCTTGTACATGACATGTAAACTGGGTACGCACCGTAACCAATTGGCAAACGCGCGGTTTATCGTTTTAAACCAATCAGGAGCAACCGAGACCAATCGTGACTTGGGGTGCTTCCATTATGCCAGACCGACCAGTGGGCTACCCAAAGAAAATGGAACGACATTTTGCGATCAAACCGGGCCAACCAAGGGGAACGGCAAATTTCGGTCTAACCGGTCTGACCGGTCAAAATGGACCACCTCCAGAGGTGGTCACGAATATTTCGGTCACACCGAACAGAAACACCTTTCCATTTGACTTCCGACCGAAATTTCCGGAATTTTTGGCATAATGGAGAGCACCCTTAATTTCCGCGAGTTTTTCCTCGCGTTGCGTGTTTTCGCGCGCCTTGCCTCAAAGTATGATTAGGTCATTGCCTTGCTTACGTTTTTAGTCACAAACCGTTGTATGAGTTAATTTTCTGAATGCACGGGATAAAATGGTGACGTTAATATTTATGGTAAAATGAACTCCCGCAAAGCGACCCCCAGTTGCACTGTTCGGAGATGGGACAAGTTTAGTCTGAAAATTCTACTTGCTGTTTTTCATGTACTCTTTACTTTTTACATGAATTGATCGGGTACTTCATTTCTAACGACCTATCTGCTTGAGCTTGTTCTAAGAAGGTAAAGAAATTTTACATCACTGCTGGTGTTCGGCGGACATGGTCGCTCGTGGAAGTTACAGTTTTACCTTTGACGAACGAGATCTTGTATTTATAGACCAAAAATGGTTCACCTTGGTGACCAAGTGCATGAATGTAGGTTCACCATCCCGGCGTTTTTGTTTAATCTTTCCGAACCGATCGTTTTACGAAAAGACTTCTTCGACAGCCAAACCTGTTGTAATAAACTTCATTATCCGTTGCTTATCCGTGCACAACCAAGCTTGGTATCAGATTCGTTAATCTTTGCCGGTACAAACGCTAGGTCTGACTTCTGGCATCCGTTTTTGTTATAACGAAAAACAGTGTCCAGACTATTGCCTGGTTTAATCATTTCTCCAAGCGTCCTCAAAATCACTGAACTTATTTCTCGAGCATGTGAGCGTGTCTGTGCCATTTTCGCAAGTGCCGTCATAGGTACAACCACTGTAATCTGGGTGAAAGCTTCTCGATATCGTTCCTTGCTTTCAAAGCTTCTTCACGTAAAAATTTCATCGAGTTTTGCTGAAGCCCGTTACTAGGGACGCGTTTATTAACACCCATTGTATCAAGTCTCTAGTGACCAATCTCTAGTGACCAATCATCATCATCAGTGGACTTCATATTCCACTTTTGCCCTCGTGCTTGGAATTCCTACCACCTAACAGACAGGCTTCACACGAACTATAAATGCACCGTTTAGTAACTTCCATTCAAGTACACCCGAAGACAAATTTGGCGCAAAAAAAGAAAGTCGAGAGTCCAAAATTTGGTGATTAAAATTTCAAGCTGAAAATTACGTACCTTATTTACTCGAAAAAGCGGCGCACTGAATATTGAACTTGGCGACGTTATGTGGCACTAGTTCAAAAATCGTTAGCAACCTTTTCTGCATAGAACAGTTATCAAAAACAATGCCATTCTTTTGTATCTTGGTGTCAAGTACTTGCAAAGAAGCGTGATCCAATTCGAATAAGGGCAGAAACTTGGGGCTCGAGACGCTTATTACTATTCTTGCTATGTGCGGCGGTTATTCGACCGCGGCGCTTAATCGCCGCGTGGCTTCTTCGAGTAGATGCAATACACACAGTATTTCTCTGAGCTGGTTGTTTGATGATTTTCCATTGGTTTCAGTAATTAAATGCTCTAACCAATAAGAAAAAAGACACTGCTTTCTCAACCAATTGGGGATTGCCAATATAGACAGGTCCCATTGGTCCGTAATTTTTCCGCCCTTTTTTTTTCTGAACCTCTCAGTTTTTTCCAATCGACTATCTACTACCTACTACCCGTAACTGCAATTCTAAACCCTTACAATATCTACAAAGCTACATATAGACAGTCAAGCGTTGGCTTGTTCAGGACCGAATGTCCAAACTTGACTTCGTGTGGAGAAAAAAAATATAATATTCAGTCGTTCCAATCTATCGACAAAATATTTCCGAGTTATTTCTTACAACGGACCTTGAGCCTTTGGCCATCCCTCCACAATTAGTTGGGCTCAATCATTAAACTTGCATTTACATGTACTCTTAGACTGAATTTAGAATCTTCTCAAGTTTTCATCACTGAACTAGCCCATACCATGCGTGAAATTCAGCCGTCTCTTTTCGGAATGTTTGCTACTGACGGGTGCAATGCGGCCCGCTAGCTTATGCTATATTTACAAGCCAATTTGTTATTGGCTTGCTGTAAGCTTTCAGTTCTCCACGTAAGTCTGTGTGTTCGTTTCCTGTCAAGGAAACATGGTCAGCCTCAAACACAGATACTATTAAAGATCAAGAAATCTACAAAATATTCACTGAGAGAAATATCATGTTATCTAAATTATGTTAGTAGAAAATACTCCTTATCCGTCGTAAACAAGCGTGTAGAAGAATACCCCCAATTGTATTACTTTTTTTTTCTTTTTGACTTTTGTTTCAACCCCAATTGTGTCATAACTACCTACCAAAATATCCTAATTCTACTTCAGTCTCAGCCATCACCTTGCACCGTCCCCTTCGTAGCCATTATATAGCTCGTCACACAACTAGTCACGCAACCGGGGAGGACTTCTGCGTGACGATCCATATAACGGTTACAACGAGAATATTTGTACTCTGTACACTACTATTGCTACTTCCGTACCCCTGACGGTATTACCGCAAATACCCCTCCCTCGTGCGCGTGATGGGTTTTTTCACTCAAGGCATAAGGTCTATCCTTCGATAGAACAGCATGTAAGGATCTTTTCCCTGTGTGGGTTTTAAAACGTAGTTGAAGGGAACGACTTTGAGTCGTGTATCGTCCGCTCTGATCCATCCGTGCGTTGCATGACAAACATCGCTGGTGTAATGGCCGCCACAGGCATTCTTTCCATGGTGATACACCACTAAAGGGGAAGGACAAAAAAGGAATATCATAACAAAACAACTCTCAAAGGAAAACATGAAATAACTTGGGAAGAAAAAAAATGATTTGAGTTCGAGATAGCCGGTATCGAGATAACCGAGCTTAACGGAGATCCTTGTAGCAACTGTGAGTGTTTTCTTTTTTTAATTTTTTCGTGAACAAAGTATCAACCAATATGAAACTCCACAAGGGTCTCAATCGACACACCCCATAGTTACACTAGTGTTTTCTGTGAGTTATATCTTTCCTCAGCCCCGCCCTCTTGCATTTTGACTCGTTCATATCCCCCGCGGTTAACACTTTGCTTACGACCTCGACGAACTCAAGACAAAATAAAAGAAGGTCTCTGGACAGACTTCTGTATAGTATACTTGATCCCACGGGTCATTGTAACAAGTTTCCCTTTTTGGCACGCGAGGAAAATGTTTAACACTGCTCACATTTTGACAACAATTTTACTTGGTTAAAAGAATCTCACTAGGTCTCGCATTAGATTGTAAAAGCAAACTTACCGGCGAAGAGTTTGTAGGTTTTCTGCGCAGCAGAATACTTGTTTCTTACATTTGAGGATAACAGTTCTGTCAGGAAAACAAGGCAATTAATTTCCTGAAATAATTTCGTGGTGACTTTCATTTTGTTCCGAACTTCAAATTGAACAATGAAAAGTTTTACTAAGAAATGTACCAGTCTGCAATTAACATTCCACAAATAATTCCAGTGATAAAGCTTTTCAGATTTGCGCAGTAAAATACTTCAATTCGATGATTAAAAAATCGTGACACTGTCTGCGGTTGTTACGTTTTCAACAAACAGTCACAGTACACTGTAGTAAGATAAATGATCTATGCCTTGTGAGTTCAGCTGTCGAGTTACCTTTGCCAATAGTGAGCTCTAAGGGGTAATCGATGACTTTGGTAAGCTTTTGGCTTCCAGCCTTAGAGTAAATAAATCTCTTCAAGTGCAGAATAAGGACCTTTGGAAGGCCTTCAAGGGTCACGCGACGTGACACGTCAACCTGTAAACAATAGCACAATAACAGTCACATAACAGTTAGCTTGAACTTAGGATGAAACCATAACAACAAAAATACAGTACTTGGTCCAATTGTGTCTACCTTGTTAGCGTTCTTAAATTATTTAAATTTTGATACAAAAACTTGACATTAACCAGTCCATATTGGTGACGTCCGTTCCTTGGCTTGTCACGCAATCAACGTTACTTGAAGAAAACTTGCAGCACGAGCCGAAGAGGGCAAAGAAGGCAAAGTGACCAAGCCTCCAATCCGCGGCTTTTACAAGGGTTTCATGAGTACCATGGGAGTGCAACCGAAATCATGAGGGTTTTACAACAATAATAATTGCAGATTACATTATCTAGAATTTTCGGCAATACTCGCCTGTAATTTGGTCTTTGTACAAGTGTATCCTTGTAATTCTTCCTTTAAAACCAAATTCTTTAACGCTTCCTCCACTGACGTGACAGTCTAGTGAATAAAATGCAGGTTAGAGGATTCTTGCCCGCTGGACAAGTACGTGAAACTTATTGGGAAAATGTTTGAGGAGGTTCAAATTACAGAAGTACTGTAAGAGATAAAATTTTGGGAAGCTCGTACAGTGGAACCTCGATGTAACGAAGGGCGTAAAGGGACTGGCAAAATATGTTCGCTATAACGAGGTTTTATTATATCGAGGTTCTTTTCCGCATATTTTACTATTACTAGGACGAAGAATGTCGTTCGTTATACCGAGGACTTCGTTATATACAGGTTCGATAAATCGAGGTTCTGAAATTGTTTTTCTGATCGAAAAGAGTAGGGGACGTAGTTCCCGGTGTGGTGGTCTATCTCTCATCTGATGGTTAAATGCTCGGAGATATTAGCTGCATAAGCTACTCTGAAATCAGAGGGTAAATAAAGTAATGTATGTGATGTATGTACGTTGCACCCTGCACGTTGGAAAAACCAAATTATATGTGCTCTTGTGAGCATGCAGTCATTTTTTTGGTCACCAGGTTGCTTAGTGATACCATCTAGTTTTCGTTATTTTCAATGGTTTCTAGTGATCTTCTTTCCTTTTTTTCCCTGTGCATGCTTGTCCAAGCTAAACGTTGCTTGGCACTTAAAGAGGTGCTTTCAGGTTCAACGAGACATACGCACATTATAATACTTTCGGAAATCCTTAGAAGTTCAAAAAACAGTTTTCTGTAATTCTTTGCACGGACTGTACTCAAAGACCTACCACATGTTTCTGTTGGAAAAGCCAAGGCCGCTATAAGGGTCTATTTGCTCGGTCGTTTCACGATTCAAAGAGTCAATTGCTGAGTTTAGTATCCAGTCAAATTATAATAATAAAAAAATGGCACAAAGACCATTGAGTACTCCAGTAAAATTTATCTCGTTAGCATTTCTAGCATACACGCATTGTCCACGCACTGTCCACGAATACAACACGCAGACTACACGCATTTTACGCACGTGTAGGTGCTGCAATCCCTTTGACCGGTACTGTAGTTATTGATCAATCACATTTTCTTTGAATTACAGCTGAAAATCAGGTTCTTGTTTAGTTTCAATAAACACTGTACTAGAATGAATTTGCTTTTAGTTAGATATTTCTTAGTTTGCGGAGTTACATTAGCTACACACCTGCACATCCAGTTGAAGTTCAAAGAATGGTTCCACATTAGCAGAATCTTTCAAACCAGTCTGATGGACAGAGGAGCGTAGAAATCCACCAAATATGTCTGAAATGAGTGACTGTGGGTATGATGCCTGCAATCAACATGACAGGGTTTAATTAATTGGCCATCCCAAATTAGTAGTCTGCTACGGTCAGCTGCGTCAAGGTGCAGTGGATCAACAGTTAGTGTGGTGAGCTCCACATTGAGTCTGGGTTCAACCCTAGCTGGGAATACTGTGCTGTGTTCTTGGGCAAGACACTTTCCTTTCAAAGTGCCTTTCTCCACCCAAGTGTATAGAGATGGGTACCTGCGAATTTAATGCTGTGAGATCACCCTGCAATGCAGGACTAGTGTCCCATCCAAAGGGAAAAAGAAATACTCCCAGTCGCTTCATGCTACAGAAACCAGGATAAGCTCCTTTTGTATGAGCTCGTGGCCTCACACAGACAGCACCTTTCTTTACGTTCAGCTACAAGATTCTCCAAAAGGTGATTAAATCGACTCAACACCTTACCATTCTGGTTACCATTGATTTGTTCCTGGGTCCAACTTGTTCCCAGTCTCCATCATCTTCCTGCCCTTCAGGAGTGAGTTCGTCATCAACTGTAAAGTCATCAGTCATGAGTGCCAAGTCAGCATCCTTCTCTTGAGCTGGACAAAACAATGACAGTTATTACTTAGCATTCTGGGCAAGTAAGGTGTGTAATGGCAGCAGATAGCTTTGAAACTACTGCCTTGCCTTGTAAACCCACATCTGCTTACAACTAGTTTAAAAGTACATATATACCATACTTCAAAGAAGAACATTCTACATTCTGGTGCCTCTGTGCTTATATTTACATGGAAGAATCCACCTAAATGAGTTAGGTTAGATGATGGTGGCTTAATGGTTAGTAAGTTGGACTCAAGATCAGGCGGTTCAGGTCATGGGCACTGGCTGGGGTCACTGTGTTGTGCCCTTAGCTGTTGTTCATGCGACTAAAACCAGAGTAGAGCGCTGAGAGATATGAGCCAGTTTTTACCTTTGACTGGCCCAGAAATCATCTGGGAGAGCTGTAGCATCTCTTCATGCATTCCATTCAGAATACAGCTCAGAAATTCCTGTGCATCTTCTTGGCGACCCTGAAAAGAAGAAGTCACAAAAACAACAAAAACCAATAAAACCTTTTTACAATTCAATAAGCCTAATCACGCGTTTTGATGCCATCTAGACTTTCTAACATATTCTACCCCACGTTGCAGCCTAATATATTCTACCCTGAAATCCATGAGGTCAACTTGTAGCAAGTCTAGATGCCATCTTGCTGGGTAGGCAAAGCGTTCAGAAATTACAGTGTTTGTATGGGAATCTGATGGCAAATATATATATTTTTTAAATACTGAATTTTGCACAACTTATGAACTGTCCTATTGTTTGATCCATTCAACATGTACGCCCCGAGGCCCTACTACAATTTCCTGTTTAAGCAATGAGATAGTGAATTTAGTCTGCCTCTACATTATGCTAATAAAATCTCATACAGCAGCTACATTCCTAAAATTCTTAATCTGGGCCTGTGCTTTTGTGTTGCGAAAATTTGTGATAAAAAGAGAATAAAAGAATTATTGATCCTATGCTAGGCTGCACAAGAACGCACCACTGTGATGTAAAAATTGTTTCAAAAATTGTTTCAAAAATTGTTATGACTTACCTTAGTTGAAAGTGAACTCTGAATGATTAACAGCATCTTGTAAACATTTGAAGGTTCAAATGGTTCTCCAGTGGTGAAATCAATCTTGGAAGGTACAGGGGAATTACTTGCTAAAAATCAAGATAATTGCAACTATTAATTTACAAGACCAGATCTTCAGAGTTCAAAAAGTCCCAATGCCCTTGGAGATACAGTTTGCCTACCTGGTTTAACTTGGAGCTCTTTAAATTCATTCATAAAGACTACACTACAAAAGAAAAAATTATACATAAGTGGCATGCTTTAGCTGAGGAACATCATCAAACTTGATCTGAGCAGAAATACTTATAAGCCCATGTATTAAACTTACAGACTGTCCAGAATAGGTGTTGATGTTGGACCTCTTTCCTTAATGTAAGGTAGCTGTCTTAACAAGTTGAAGAATGGTGGACAACCCACCAATGCTTGCAAGGTCTGTATAAAGTCAAGGTCTTGTAAACAGTAATGTAAAAAGCAAGTTGCTGATTCCCTGATTAATTGACATATTTGTTTGAGGTACTGTGATTGACTCCAGCTCATGGCATGCTAATACAATAACTAATTCTCAAGCACAAGTTGAATATAATAATATAAATCCAAATGTATTAATTTGAAAACATAATTGCATTAATAAATAAGAGTAACAAGTGACCTTCACATGCTATGAGCACTACCAATAATTCAATTTAAAACAAAAATTTACAGCAGGCCTGTTAAACTACATGTGGGAAAGATCATTTATTAATTCAATTATGCCACGGTTTTTAAAAATTGATGGAATTGTAACTACACCACAGGACTTTCATTAAGAGAAGTAACCTTACAGCTGAGTACGTTTGATGGTCCCATGATGTTACAGGTGAGAACAACTTGCCTATTGTTGGTACGGTGGAACCCCACCTTAGGGTCACCCCATTAACTAATACAACCACTCTATGGCTACAGCCACTTTATTCTGCCCTGAACAAAAGCTCAGTCAGTCATTTTGTTACTAAAAAAAAACCTTTAATTCAGCCACCCCATTAGTATGGCCAGATTTTTGTGGCCTGTTGGTGACTGGATTAACAGGGTTCCACTGTCTAATGATCAAGGCAAGAGGTGATTCAAAACTTAATGACAGCCTTCACCAGCTGGTCAACTTGAACCTCCCTAAAGAACGTTTCCTACCGAGAGAAGTTGAATCTTAAGCTAAAGGATACAGCATTAATGTAACACCAGTTTCCTCTGTTGATCNCGGTTTTTAAAAGTTGATGGAATTGTAACTACACCACAGGACTTTCATTAAGAGAAGTAACCGTACAGCTGAGTACGTTTGATGGTCCCATAATGTTACAGGTGAGAACAACTTGCCTATTGTTGGTACGGTGGAACCCCGCCTTAGGGCCACCCCATTAACTAATACAACCACTCTATGGCTACAGCCACTTTATTCTGCTCTGAACAAAAGCTCAGTCAGTCATTTTGTTACTAAAAAAAAACCTTTAATTCAGGCACCCCATTAGTACGGCCAGATTTTTGTGGCCTGTTGGTGACTGGATAAACAGGGTTCCACTGTCTAATGATCAAGGCAAGAGGTGATTCAAAACTTAATGACAGCCTTCACCAGTTGATCAACTTGAACCTCCCTAAAGAACGTTTCCTACCGAGAGAAGTTGAATCTTAAGCTAAAGGATACAGCATTAATGTAACACCAGTTTCCTCTGTTGATCAGCCCTCTTGGAATGTAAGGTTTCTGGTTGTAGTTTAATTCTTGTTTTTGAATGATTTCTGCAAGAGTAACAAGGACAATTTCTATAATCCCATGCATTGTCCCACAATAAAATGCCATGTACACCCTGTCCAGCTATATCCCTTGAGTTAGGTAAACTATTAAACCATGACTGGACCTCATTTGAGGTCCACAAAGGCTTTGAACTACACTGTAACAAATGCGATCTTACATGATCAGTGCTGTAATCAAACTGAGTTTTTCATCATGTAGGCTATGTGACAGTGAAATTTGTGAACTTAATTTGATGGAGATTAGTGGATGCAAATTTCCTTTCGGTAATTATGATGTAAAACAGCCACATAAATCAAAAGCTTTTACATGTAAAAATGTTGACAGTACCTGCAAATTTCTTGGCATATTTATCCTCCTCTACTCCTACTGTTGTTTGAACAGGATCTTCTGCCTTCTTCCCAGCTGATGTTGAATTAGTTTCTGTCCTTATAACAGGACTTGCTACCTTAATAACAATACCAGGTGATGCCTTGGCAGAGTTTTTAAACAGATCAGCCCATGATGAAGGTTTTGGAAGTTCTTTTTTGTTGCTTCCTTCATGAGCTGTATTGCTTGTTTGT